AAATCCAATCCATTATTATTATTATTCTCATTTAAAATGTCTCGCTTTTAACAAATAATTATCTGAATCTTACAACCAAAGTTTTTATCTGATGTAAAATGTATAGAAATCATACATATACCAACAAGACTGTACATCACTGTCACAGCAGCGTTTGTTTTCATTCAAAGGCTTTATGGCTTTTCCTGAAATACCTGTTGCTATGTTGAGGCATTTATTGCACATGGGAGAAACTAATCTGCACATACACTGATTATTTGCTTAAAATGTTCTGTTTTACAGAGAAAGGCATAACCTGTCAGCAGCCCACAGTCTAAATATATCCAGAGCATATTATAGAAACAAAAATACAAATGCATGCATGTACACGAGTATGTTTTTGCACCTGGGTGAGAGAAACATGAATAGCACTTATTGGCATCTGACTAATACGACTGATCACACATATGACCACAAACACAGGCAGGGAAACAGTTTATTTGTACACTGTGCCCTACACGCTATCGTTGTTGCACAAAGTCAGCAAATACAGACACCCCTGAGGACTTTGCTGATTACAAATTACATTCAGCACATACGTGATGACATAATTTTAAGAAAAAACATGAAAAGTCTTGCTAGTTTAGTTCCCATCGCTAACCCTCCTCTTATACTTTCTCCTCTTTCAGCAGAGCGAGGATCTGCTCCCTCCTGGAGGTGTACGGCGTGTGTTTCAGCTGAAGGACGTGAGCAGGAAACAAGTTCCCACTGGGAGCGTACATATCCTCTCCCTTCTGCCCCATCAGTGAGCGCAGCATTTTGTTTCTGGACAGAATTTTATCGTAAAACTCCACCCCTCCTTTGGCGTAATCGCGGGACACTCCGGCTGCACGTCGGTCCGAGCTATAGTCAAGCCACTGGCTGACGGCGTCCGAGGTGAGGAAGTAGGAAACAGCACCAATGCCAAGCGCAATGATGTTCACAGCACCGCGTAGCAGCGCAGGCCCGCCGTACAGCCCGAAAACCTGCTTCAGCACCACGCTGTACACCCAAACCCCTCCCAGGCAGAACGGAGCGACAGCAGCGCTCATGACGGGTCCCCCGGACTGCAAGCGGGCCACCTCGCGCGCTATGGCGAACTTCTGCGCGTCGAGGGAAAACACAAGCGCCTCCTTTAGAGTCGAACCGGACTCACTGCTCCAGTCCACTGTTTTGCCATTGATGAAAATGTTGCGATTGGTAATTCCACTCGGGTCGTCGGCGGTGCTGTTAAAGTTAGCAGGGATGCCGATTTGGGCCCCTGCAGGAAGCCACGGGACGCCAGCGCCAACCGGTTGGAAGCCAAAGGACGCAAAGGCCGAGACATTCTTGGGTGAGCTGACGCCATAGTCCTTCAGCACCTACAAATGACAAAGCAGAAATGTGAATTTTATGAATTTCATGAAAGAACAAATTTCATGAAAGAACAAATTTCATGTTTTGTGAACAATTTGTTTCGATTTGTGTATAATGATGGTTATTAATCTAAGACGCCTGCGTCTATCTTTACTGCTATTTTCCTCTCATCAGCAACTGAAAATATTTATACATCAAATCCAGCGACAATCACATGCATATTATAGCTGAAGTCTTTTAAACATATCTGAAGTGTGATCTTGAAAAAATAAGATAAATTAAAACCTGCTGAAAAAGAGTTTCCAGCTTTTCCGACAGCACGACCGGCTCCCCCCGGTGCCAGGCCTGATAGAGCTGACGGTAGGAGACGTCAGGGAAAACGTGGTAGAACATGTTGGCGGCGAAGACTCCGCCGCAGCTCGCAATGAGCAGTGGAGTGCGATACTTCTGGAGAAGCACGGAGTACTTCAGGAAAGGAGACGCCATGGCTTTTATTTTCTTCCTTTTTTTGGCTCCCGTGTTGTTTTCAGCAGCAAGCTTCAGTTGGTGACATCTGTGAAGAGGACAGACGATACATCCATGAAAACAAGCTGCATCTCACAGATATATAAAAACTGTGACACTGTGCTGACTCATCCTCCCCCAGGAACTTAACATGTCATTAACATGTCACATAGCATTCATTCGAGGTTAGGGCTCATCATGCGGGCTAACGCAACATCAGTGCACACGACGTGGTTATCACAGTGTACTACAACCTAAAACATTTTAGTTAAATGAACTTGAGCTGCCTTAGAATCACACAACAAGCTGAAAATCAACTAAACTTGAAGCCTCAGGCTGTGATTGGCTGGTCACTTCCATCTCTTCTGTATTTTGTAAGATGGAAACATTTAAACCTTAGTGGAGTTACTGTAGGAAGCTCAGATCCTTTAAAGTGTGCAGCAGGATGTTGGAGACCATCTACCAGTCTGCGGTGGCGAGGGACATTTACTTTGCTGTTGTCTGCTGGGAGGGGGCCGCATCAGAGCAAGAGACGCCAGCAGGATCAACAAACTGATCCACAGGCTGGAGCATCATTGGCCAGAATCTGGAGGCGTCTGAGTCAGCGAGGGTTGGAGGTCATCGAACAAACTGCTCTCCATCATGGACAACCCATCACACCTGCTCTCTTATTATTAGTCTTATTATTTACACTTCTTTAACTGAATATCTTTTTTATTTATAAGTTTTTTTTGTTTTTTTTAAATCTCTACATTTTAAAAACATCTTTATTGAGTAACATGCTGCTGTAATGCAGTAGTTTCCCTTGAGAGATCGATAAAGTATCTATCATAAGTGTTGTTTACCTGAATGAAAGATGAGAGACAGCACAATTCTTCTTCTATGGTCTGTAGTAGTATAGTAGTACATGCAGTATTGTAGTACCTCATTAAAATGAATACTTACAGTCACACAGAGACAACCTGATGTGGTGACAGTCCTAAATAACAACCTTAGTGTTCAGGATGGAGTCAAATCCACAACCGTGATAATGACGTCATCATTCATGGACTTTAAAGAAGCAGTTCTGCACTTTTTTTTTTTTTTAACTCGCTGACGAGTCAGACTAACTTGTTTTGTAGTTTGGGGTCAAACTTAATCATAGTCAGTCTTGTCTTCACTCAGGACTCGCTGTAAACAAACAGGTGAATTAAACCGAGCTAACCCTACAACCTGCCTCACACCTGCCCGCGGTCGTGTCGTCGGAGACACACCAACAGCTTCTGAAGCACACACAGGCAGGCTGTCACTGATGAAACGTGAAGTATTTCACTGCAAACGGCAACAACGACGAGCCTGTTAATGATGCTTTTACTGCACATGACGTCAGCAGCCTTAACCCTTACACACAGAGCCGTAAATGAGTCCGCTTCTCTCCATTTAGCACGAGCGCGTCTGAAACACCTGCTTCAGTTTCCGCTCCGGTGGACACTCACCTGTTCTCCGCATCTTTACCACGAGCCGCACACGAGACACTTTCCAAGGACAGCTGCACGGCATGGAGACGTAACAGTGACCGGAAAGCGATTTAGCTGTCGCCATGGCGTTTTACGACAGTTTCACGACAGTAAAGTTAGAAGGCTCATTGATTTGACGTGAATTTTTGTTATTATTATCTTCAATTACTTGTTTTTCTGAAGTGGTCTTGCTAATTAATTCTTTTTTAAAATTTCTGTTTGTTAAACAATTAAAAAATTATATATTTAACAACATCTAAACATTCCTTTGTGAATACATTTACCAAAGGTAGTAAATAAATAAATAAGCTGCATGAACTTAAATTTAAATCATTTCCTATTTATTATTCAACCTTAACATTAATTATTAAATCTAATGCATTGTGCTCAAATTGATTTTTAAGCATTAGAAAAGCAGAACATGTTTAATCAGTATGCATCTCTAAAGCTCTGTATGGATATATTATACATTTAGTCTAACTAAAGATATCAGTGACAGAAAAGAGTGTACAGCACCAACAGGTCAAGCTTATACACCTCATATTACGGTATAAGTAACATTTCTGGCTAACAAATAAATAAATGCATAAATAATAGTAATAATAATAATTGTAAAAAAAAAGCCCAAAAAAGCCTTTATTGAATTTCTATTTCAGCTGAAATTAAAATTAAATTAAAAACATGATACAAAGGAAAAAAGGAAAAATTCAGCAACATATATTTTATCATCCTGTTTTGCTTTATTTCTTAAAAAAAAACCAACTCCTCTAAATGATAAAACAGTGCTGTACAAACTGACCGTATGTGTTTTGTATGGGTTTGCACTTTGTTTTCTGTTAATACTGACTGCTATGAATAAAGCTGAGGTATTGTTGGCTGGCAGTGCCCTTCTTTTGGTTTTAAGTCGCGCTTGGACAACTAGGTTACATCCGAAATGCTGCTTCCTGTTGCACAGCAGCGAGGTGAAAAGCAACACAACCAAAAATATGACCTCTCTGCTGTTCCAGTTTATTGTGCTCTTCATGACATCAGGGAAAAGGTTTAAGACAGAGGTCGAAATCATTTGCATGTTTAATAGAACAGACTTCAGAAGACAGTCTCTCTAACCCTTGACCAATTTATAGCCTTGCTACCAGTGGCGGTCCTAGCCTGTTTGGCGCCGTGGGCGAACACTGCCTCTGGC